TTTTTCTTTTAATATTCTTCATGGGGCATTCATTCGTTTGTCATCATTTGGGTAACCGTTACCCAGTTTCTTCCATAGGCACGTTTACTCAAATTTGAGTAAAAGCATGTTAACCCATTTTTGAGAAACTTCCCTTTTGACTTGACTAAGTGAACTTCGACTCAAAAATGAGTAGCCTCAAAATAGCGTGTACACAATATTTTGAGTAAACGTGCCTATGGACGAGTGCACCGATGGATTTGAGTTCACTCACTCGAGAAAAAGTGACACAAGCTGCGGACAATGTTTACTAATCATGAACACTAAATGTTCATGAATAATGAATAATGAACATATAGTGTTCATGATTAGTACACATTGCCCGCAGCTTGTGTCACTTTTTCTCGAGTGAGTGAACTCAAATCCATCGGTGCACTCGTCCATGGAAGAAACTGGGTAGCGGTTACTCAGATGATGACATTTGTCAACTGAGTAAACTTACCCATTTCGATAGAAACGAATGAATGCCCCATGAATGCTTTATATATATTTAAATTATTTAGGCCAGGAAGAATATAAAAAAAAAACATTATGAAAATGATAATTCTGTATTTATTGACATCAACAAGCTATTCGTTAGAGTTGTATACCTCACCAACTAGCTGCTGATAGCTTTTGCCATCCAGGCTATTACCAACCGGTGGAAACTAAAGACTATTTACTAGGCTATTTGTCCCAAGTACATCTATAAGCATACCCCATTCTGGTCAACATTATAGTACACCGAAAATAGTTTTCATGTAGCTTTCATTGGAAACTCACATGATTTTCATCCATAATTAAAATTAATGGAATTCATCTGAATTTCACATAACATTTATTAAATCAAATTAATTTTATATGATTTTTCATATGAATTTCATCGGCATCGTAATATTCATGTGATTTTGAGGTGGGATTTTCAGCTATGTGATCACAGGAAAGCTATGTGAAATTCACATGGATTTATTCCATTAGATATGTGATAAATTTTTTGAGTGTACTTCACAATGTTTGTTTTGATTCGCTACAAGGTAACCGCAAAATACCCAATAATGACTACAAAGTAAGCATTTTCGAGAGAGACTGGGACTACCCATTAATCGAGTAAAAAAAATTCCCATTTATGAGTATTTGATACTCACAAATGAATACTTACTACTTATTTTTGTAGTTGTAATTACTCTTAAATAGGTAATATTTTACTCATTTAATGGGTAGTCCCAGTCTCTCTCGAAAATGCTTACTTTGTAGTCATTATTGCGTATTTTACGGTTGCCGTGTATGAAAGTTTGACAGATAAAATGAGGCGTTCGAGGATTTTCCTATGTTTCGAGGGGTGCATCGATTAGCTTGGGACCGAAGATAGTACAAGAGCTGAGCCAAAAAGTTGAGCACGTTTCTTCGGGACCTTCTGGTCTTCGAGTTACCTCAATGCTATTACCATAGAGGTAACTCTAAGACTAGTAGGTCCCAAAGAATCAAAACAAACATTGTGTAGTACTAGAATTTTGACTAGAATGGGGTACGTTAATCGATTTGCTTGGGACCAATAGGCTAGTTAAGTAGTGAGCCAATACAAAACCGTTAGTTTCCACCGGTTGCTATTACGTAGCTGCTTCTTTTTCACTGCTTCACTTCTAAAACTTATTTTAGACTCACTGCGGAAAAATTGCCTGTTCACAACTTCAAACTGCGTCATTTTGAACATAGAAAAAAATTGTATCACAACCATTTACCCACAATCTGGGCAGATTCCACTGATCGGAGCAAAACCAGTTTAGTCATTTTTTGACAACTCCATACAGCTGCAAAAATGAGTACGATCCACCCAGTCACTGAGTAGCCTCAAAATAGCGTGTAAGTTTTTGCGCATTTGAGTTAACGGGATTCAAATATGAGTCAGATTAATTTGCCGTGTAGGCCCTTTGAAAAATTATCAATCCGAAGAATAATTAATTCCTAAGTAACATTGATCGATTCTCTTCGTCGACATTATCTTTCGTTAACAACTAGGCTACAACACCGTTTCTTGCCGTGTTTGCCGTATTAGAAGCTGGATAATAACTTCTTTTATAGAACTATGTGTTTGAAATAGCTGAAACTGTCTAGACATGGCCGTGGGGATGCAAACACGCTAACTTGAAAGTACTCATTAATGAGTAAAAAAAGGCCCATTTTGTAGAAAAGTGGCTTAACTCATTAATGATTAAACAATTTTACCCATTAATGAGTATCTGTTACCCATTAATGATTAACAATTCCAGAGCAACATGTGAAAAGGGCATACAAGCTTTTTGTAAACAAACCTTTGTGGGCCCTTTTCTCACCAACCGAGGGTCACCCACGCAAACCAGCAATATCATCGGGAAGGGGAAAGTGTCCCCTACCCGGTGATGTTAAAGGTTTGCGTTGGTGTCATATGGGTGGCGAGAAAAGGGCATAAGAAGGATTGTTTACAAAAAGCTTGTATGCCCTTTTCACATGTTGTTCTGGAATTACTCATTAATGAGTAACAGATACTCATTAATGAGTAAAAAATTTACTCATTTAATGAGTTAAGCCACTTTTCTTCAAAATGGGTCTTTTTCAACCATTAATGGGTACTTTCAAGTTAGCGTGAAGAGAAAATCTACGAAGAGAATCTGTCTACGTTACTTACGAGCTAATGAATTGTTAGGCTTTCCGTAAAAAAAGAACAATACAGGGGAAACATGTCAGAAGGGTATAATTCGCAACGTAAAGAATGAGTTTGAACGTCGATTTCCCTTGAATGACCTCACACCAACGGAATCTGATTACACTAGCTCATGGAACAAACATTTTTCTGTCAGATGATTTTGTTAGTTTGAGTTCGTATGTAGTCATTCGTAAGAAACCGACGATCCAAGTCATTGTTTACGTTTCGAGTTAGACCCTTCTGACATCTTTCCCCTGAATAGAGGTACAATGAAATATATCAAGAGCAAATTTTCATTATGTCGAAAGTAACATTCGTACCGATCCGAGAAAAATAAAGTTTTGGTTTGATGACCGAAAAGTTATTCCTATTTCCAATTGAACACATGTAATCTCATAGTGATAGCAATGTTTAACATATTAAGCAGGGTTTTAATCATAGAAAGCAGATCGCTAGCTTTCATGCTAAAAATACTGGTTTTTGGATCAACAGTTATTATACGTCGTTTGGTGGCCCCTAATGTTGCTTATGCCTCAGTGTATTTACCAGATAATTTATATATATTCATAAGAATATATAAACTTGCATGTTAACAGTGACATATCGACTGCAGCTCGTAATTCTCGAGAAATTTGCGTTTAAAGCGATTGTTTACGTTTGGTTGTTCCACCTATTTCAATTGTTGGTCTAGAATATTCTGCTCATTGCTGCCGTCGACCTTGGAAGTAGGGCGTCTCAAAATCAACCTCAATCGACAAAATCAATGCGACGAAGAGACTGCAAGCTGCCTTTTTTCTTTTGAAGTCGAACAGCATTGCAGTATTCTAGAACCTCAGTCGGCGTCAGCAAACAAATTTTCAATCGCTTGTCTCTCTTTCTCCCGTCACTTCATTGGTATTTCTTTCAAGCTTCACGAGCGCTTGACTTTGCTAGTTTCGTCTTTCATGAAACACATCAACAGAGGTTTCATTAGGCATATGACGGAAAATGAAAATATACAGTTGTGCTCGATAAAATAGCAGCGCATGTCGATTTTCATACAGGGGGTCTGGGGTTGACCAAGGCAGTTGCTGTAAGAAAATAATATGCTGCAGAAAGTACTGGAGCATACTTTTGGGTTTTGCTGTACAGAATCTTACAGAAAAACAAGTGCTGAACTAGACCTAATGTCTATACACTTCTTGAAATGGATTACCGATAATTGGATCTTGAAAAAGTTTTTGATGAGGTTTAGTACTGTTTGCCGAAATCTCCGTTAACATTTACCGAACTGCGGATTGTTCACCAAGATCTCGGGAATTTTTGCTTAGATTTTCTGATACATGATAAATATTTTTGCTTGGTAATAAATCTGCTGTATCCAAGTCTTAGAAGCATTCTAAATCTGGAATCAAGAAAACTGAGAGAAACTAACCAATTCTTGTAAAAATCCATTTTACACAGAATTTGGAAAATTCTATGAGTCCCGGTGATGCCACTTTCAAATACAAACTATTTATATACCTACCGCAGATGTTCTCAACATATCAACAGAGGAATGCCAACGACCAACATCACTAGACACATGCCGTCAAAGCTCTTTCCGTACTGAGACCCATCGGAGCATCCAAAGCGAAACGTAATTGTGAATCCCTGAATCTTTGGATGTTTCGATTGCCTCCCAAACATGTTTTTAGTTTCTCAAATATCAAAATAATCGTAGACATTTCCGTGATCTTTGGACGACGTCCCTGATGTGGTTGATCAAACCGAGCTCCAGAGGTCACAGCGATGTGTGACAGCCTGCTCTAATCACCCTCCTTTTCAAGAAAGAACCGTAACAAAAGTTCCCTCAACGCTCCGAAACGTCCGTCCGTCCTGTTCGTTGTGTAGAGTTGTGTATAACATTAAACGTGTGTGTGTATTCAATTGTTAATTTCTTGAAAACAAAAATAATCACTTGAGAAATCGATGTTCCTTACGTTGTTGGTTTTTGTAAAAGTAAAATTCCTACGTTTGTGTGACCAAAACTTCCGTAACCGTAATTGATTGATGTTGTCGTGATGCTTCGTTTTTGGTAATGTTTATCTCTTCCAAACAAAAAAACACAAGCAAAGTTCAAACACAGAACGATGTGATGCACAATTCGAACAAGTTGATACTGAACTCGTTACCCTGTTCTTTTTTGGCTATCGTCTTTTTTCTTCCAAAACCGTACGTCCTCCTTCACGAACGAAAAAAAAAAATTGGCAAATTTGCAAACCTTTAAAAAAATCAAATTCAAAACCGTGATCTGCGGGGACCGCACGGAAAAACACGATAGGCAAAGGGGTATGTCCATGTATATCTGCAGAGCATGGTGAAAATGAGCTGGAATTAACTCCAGATGACATACTGGCCGACGGGCTGCTGAAAAAGGGCGTCAAGGAGCACAATCAGCTGGAGGTGGCCATCGGCGACGGGATGGAGTTCACGATACACGGCGACCTGAAGAACAAGGGCAAGAAGAACAAACAGCTGATGAACAATTCCAAGGTAATTGGGTTCCTATCGCTATCGCTTCACCGTAACCGATGCCGCATCTTTGACGCCTTTCCTTCATTGCCATCATCATCAATTTACATCCTCATCATAGTGGGAATTTCGGAGAAGTTAAAATTCCCACTGTACAACCAAATACTCCCTCCATTTCCCCACCAGTACTGCCTATGTGAACTCTCTATCGCTCGCCCACCTGATCATTCTATCTCGCTCTCACACTAATCGAATAACCTCTCTCTATGCTATAATATGTATCTTCACAGTATCCGATCGTTTTTAACCAGTGTTGTTAATTCTCGAAAAATTTGTCTATGTTGTTATATCTTGATAATTAGGTGATAGGCAATTCTATTAGTAATCATCAAGATAATAAATTAGAGCACGAACTGAATCATAGAGGCATGTCCTTGCAGGACGATGATACTGCCAGTATAAAGTCCTATGGCAGTCACAAGAATCGCCCCTACAAGGACGAAAGCCACAAAGGCAGCGCCGAAACGATGGAGGGCGAGGAAAAACGTGATGCCAGCAAGGAGGACCTAGGAATTGATGAAGGTACGTTAATCGAAGTAATCACCCATGGGAACTATTTTGGCAATGATCTCTTCCACCCGATTTCGATTACAGAGTTAGACGACGAGTGCGACGGCGAAGAAGGTCCACTGGACGGCGAACTGATAATACACGCCGACGAGGACGAAGTGATCGAGGACGCGCCGGCCGACTGCTGTCCGGACAATTGCTACAAAAAGTTTCCGGTTCTGGCCGGTGACGACGATGCGCCATTCTGGCAGGGCTGGGGCAATCTGCGGCTCAAGACGTTTCAACTCATCGAGAACAAATATTTTGAGACGGCCGTCATCACGATGATTCTGCTGAGTAGTTTAGCTCTGGTAAGTTGTTGCCATGGTAAGACCCCAATTAAAACCGGTGATAACGCCGATCTTGATCCATTGTAGGCCCTCGAAGATGTGCATCTTCCGCATCGACCAATCCTACAGGACGTTCTGTACTACATGGACAGGATATTCACGGTGATATTTTTTCTAGAGATGTTAATCAAGTGGTTAGCCCTAGGTTTTCGAGTGTACTTTACGAACGCCTGGTGTTGGCTGGATTTCATAATTGTCATGGTAAGTAGTCGCCATTCACCGAATCAACCCATCCCGGCTCTAAGCCAACAACGCGATAAGAGAAATTAGATTCCAAACTCTAAACCTCCCCAATAACCCCCCAAAACCCTTCGTCTTCAACAAAAACCACCGTTCCATTCGAAAGATCATTCAGATAAAACAAACTCTACCCCCTCCCCCACAGTCAGCCATTCATGAGACACGATTTTGAACCCCTACTATGCGATCAAATTCAAAGTAGTGGGGGAACATGACACACCACACTTTCTCTCTCTGAATCTCCTTCTCTATGTCTCTCTTCCCTGCTTTCCAACTTCATTGAATCGCTCCATTTGCCAGAAATCAGTTCACTTTCAAAAGCCGTAGACAAGTACCCCCCAAAAAAAGAAACGGAAGTTTACTAAATTTACCCAATGGAAAACGCCTAGAAGAATGTTATTGCTTTTGTTTTTGGAACCCAATGTTTTCTTCAAATTCTTATCATTAATTCCAACTATTATTTTCGTAAAATAAAAAAAAAATATCTTTGAGTATATAAGAAACAAATTTGCACATGCAGTATGACAAAATCTGCTGATCGAACCGTTATACTCGCATCACATCAATTAAGTAAAGTTCAAACGTTCAGAGATTTCCAGAATATTTACTTATCATTAGTTAAATTAGATAACATCCATCAGACTTGATCAACAGAACATGCAGGTCATGGTACAGTTTCTAGGTGCTTAATCTTTCTATCTACGCATTAGGTTCTATGAGAGAAGTCTAGAAGGCTTATTCCAAAGATCTTATTGGTCATCTTCAGAAGCCTTACAAGTTAACCAGAAAGAGCTTGCGCGAACTCTTGACATCCTATGGTTTGGGCCTGGGTCTGGCAAAGCCGCACAGTGGAGTAACTAGGTAACACAAATTGGCCAAAATTATTTACTGTTGTTATTTTGCGATTAGATTCTTGACCAAATTCCAAATTGACGCCAAAGGGCGGATCGGAAAAACTCGATCTTCTCCGATTTGTATGAATTTTTGCGTAATTGTTTGATTTGGACAATGATTCACATTTTTGCTAAAATACGGCCATTTTTGGTCTTGTGAAGTTTTGGAAATTACGCCTTTGAAATTTTTCAAAAAATTGTAGCGCGGAAACGTCATTTCTGATCGAAAGAAAATTAATTTCTTTCCGGAACCTTGAAAAATTTCTAAGAATTTCAATGATGTTATAAAAACATCAGATTAGATCCGAGAACTTAAAGAACCTCCAGAACTATGTTCCTGTTGTTGTTTCTTAATTAAGGAGACTTTCAGCCGTTACGAGTTCGAGAAAGCGGAGATCGATGCGTTTCAACATCCAGCGTTTGACAGTAGATGGTGCTGCTGCAGAGTACCACCAGAAACTGAATGAGCGGATAGCGGAAATCAACGTGAACGAGAATCTCAACAATCTGTGGGAAGCTGTCCACGGAGCGGTGAGCACAACAGCACGAGAGGTGATAGGTACAGCTCAGAGGCGCCCCCGGAACGGGTGGTTTGATGAGGAGTGCCAGCGAGTGAAAGAGGAAAAGAACGTCGCCAGAAGCCGAATGTTGGTGTCTGGTACCCGTCAGAACAGAGAGCGGTACAGGGTAGCAAGGTCAGCCGAGAAACGAACCCATCGCAGGAAAAAAAGGCAGTACGAGGAACGCGTTATTGCTGAGGCGCAAGAAAGTATGGAGCAGAATGATATGCGAAGGTTTTACGCAACTGTCAATGGCGTGAGGAGTAAGACAGCGCCGTCTCCCGCCATGTGCTATGACCGTGAAGGTAATCTGCTGACAGATAAAACGATGGTGGCTGCCAGGTGGAAGGAGTACTTCAAGACGTTGCTGAACGGAGAGAACGAGAGAGCATCTACAAACAGAACACACATCGACGACGATGGTCAAGCTGTGGAACCACCAACGCTAGAAGAGGTGAAAAAGGCGATACGAGAGCTGAAAAACAGTAAGGCTGTGGGGAAGGACGAGCTCCCGGCCGAACTTCTCAAACACGGAAGTGAGCAGCTGCACCAGCTGCATACTGCTCAAGATATGGGAGGAGGAAGAATTGCCCGCTAGTTGGTTGGATGGTCTCGTTTGTTGGTCTACAAAAAGGGACACAGACTGGAGTGCGCCAATTACAGAGGAATCACGCTTCTGAATTCGGCGTACAAAATATTATCACGTGTTCTGTTCAACAGATTGAGACCGCTTGAGGAATTCTTCGTCGGCGAATACTAGGCTGGTTTTCGTGAGGGTCGATCAACGACGGATCAAATGTTTACCCTTCGTCAAACCCTTGAGAAGTTCCGGGAATACAACTTGCAGACTCATCATCTGTTCATAGATTTCAAGGCAGTGTACGATTCAGTAAAGAGAAACGAGCTATGGCAGATAATGCAAGAAAACGGTTTTCCGACGTAACTAATTAGGCTGATTCGTGCAACGCTGGATGGTTCGAAATCATGTGTACGGGTTGCAGACGAGATTTCGGCCTCGTTCGTGACCTTAGATGGGTTGAAGCAGGGAGATGCTCTTTCGAACTTGCTATTCAACATTGCCCTCGAAGGAGGTGAAGGTACCATCATCACAAAGTCGCACATGCTCCTTGGTTTTGCGGACGACATCGACATCATCGGAATCGACCGTAGAGCAGTGGAAGAGGTGTTCGCGCCTTTTAAGAGGGAGACAGCGTAGTGAAGTGGTGCTAGATGGCGAAAAATTTGAAGTTGTGGACGAATTTGTTCATCTTGGTACTTTAGTGGCGTGCGATAATGATGTTACCCGCGAGGTGAAAAGGCGTATTGCAGCCGCGAACAGGGCTTTCTACGGGTTGCGTAGCCAGCTGAAGTTCTGCAGCTTGCGTACGAAAACGAAATTCGCGCTATACAAGACGTTGATTCTGCCGGTAGCCCTTTATGGCCACGAATCGTGGGCATTGAAAGAGGCCTATCGGAGAGCTTTCGGTGTCTTCGAGCGTAAAGTGCTGCGAACAATACTCGGCGGTAAACTGGAAAATGGCATCTGGAGGCGTCGCATGAATCACGAGTTGTACCAAGTATATAACGGCATGGATATTGTGAAGCTTATAAAACACGGCAGGCTACAGTGGGCTGGGCATGTGGCACGAATGCCGGAAGAGCGTCAAGCGAAGTCAATATTCAGCAGGGAACCCGGAAGAGGACGTCGGCTTCGGGGTAGGCCACGCACGCGTTGGCTTTGTGCAGTTGAGGAGGACATTAGGTCCTTGAACGTCCAAGGCGACTGGAAGCGATTGGTTTAGGACCGAGACCAATGGAGACGATTACTTCGTTCGCGCGGATTTGAATTCAACGAGTCGTCGCCCATCAGGTATTCAGGTAGGTTCAGCTCAAGGTTGGTTCGTCTCTGGATCTCTTAGAGCTGGTTGCGATGGCTTTAGGAAAGTTTCATACATATTTCTGAAAAATTTCTAGAACTTCAGTGAAGGTCAAAGAGCCTCAGGAGAGTCAGAATAACTTCAGGTAATTTGCAGCAACTTGCCAAAACGTTAGTTGAGTTTAAAGTTCTTAAGGGAAGTTACGTCGGGGTGTCGACTACCTGTAAAAACCTCGAAAATTAGGGAATATCAGGGAATTCGTTTTTGAACCTGGACAATCAGGGAATCTCAGGGAATTTAATTGAAATTCAGGGAAATATTTCTTAATCACAGAACTATGACAAACTTTGCTAGTTTCAAACAACTTAATTACTTGGTGCAGTTGAGGATGGTTTAAAATTTTAAATAGAGTTGCTAATTTGTGATTGCACAATGCTTGATGTGGCATTTTTTTTTAAGTTGAACAAGAATTTCTAAAATAAAAGGGTATTTTAATGATTTTACGTCTAATATTAATTCAGCTCCTACTGGGTGTTGACACTGAGTTAAACTGAGATCCTGAGGGTTGATAAAAAAAAATCTATTTCCGTAGACACTAGACGTAGTTATTTGCTACAAAATATAACCTCCAAATGGGTATGTGCGTCTCTTAATAGATGTTACGCCTGATTGAGTCTGACGTAGATCCTTTGGGCGCATTGGAGCACTCTTTAACAAATTCAAGACTGGTAAAGAGTTAAGAGAAGAAGAGAAAGTTCTTGTTCCTTATTGTGTTCTTAACAGACTGACTAGCTCAGAGAATAAACTAAATGAGGATTTACGATAATTGCCTTGGAATAGCACTTTTATGATTGAATTCAAGAAACGTAGACTAATATTGGTTGTCTATGCAATATAAGTCTACGTTTCTTGAATCATTATTAGATCATTATTATAGAGTAGCGTTATTCAGTATTCTAGATCTTCATTGTAAATCTGGTTAGCTTGGAAAATTATCTTCTCAATGAAGTTTTAGTTATTGCAATTGCGATGAAATTAAGCTACTGAATATTGGAGGTGAAAGTGTTGTTTTTACGATTTACCTCCCTAGGTTTTCTTTTTTCTTTATTATAGAGATTTATAGCCGAAGGCTAGTTCATCTCTTGAATATGGCCGTGAATTAGCGTGTTGCTAAGCGTATTATCCGGAATAATTTTCTTGTAGAGCTGGGTCTCAAATTGTACTCAAGGAAGAAAATTATAAAGGGATTAAAGACAAGTGTTTCATATGCAAGATGTAGAAGAACTGTTTAAATTTTTGCCCCTTGAGTTGATTGTAAAGTTCACGATATTTCACGAAGCTCAACATGGGAAAATTCGCGAGTCATAGGGAGTTTTGATGAATATTTTCAACACTGCTTCTAAGGGTGAGCAAACCGCCATTTCAAGGACCTCTTCTCATATCATGAAATTAATCGGGCTAATTTGCTGCAAACTTTAAGCGATTAAGTAAGCCTTGTTTGTAAATCGATATCGAGATGGTTGCAGTTTCCTTCACACATAACTATTAATCATTAATTGAACTGATTCCCTGGCGCATACAATTTGTTAATTTAGAAAAATGCCTTCCCGTGTTTGGCAACACGCGATTTC